GGGCATGAGTTCGTTTGGCTTTTTAAACCTGATTAGACTTGTTTGGCACCATTTTTCCCCCCCTGCCTGTTGACCTGTCCCTTTGCTTTTCTAGTAACTCAGAATTGGCGGAGTCAATCAGTAGCCGTCTTCAACCTGAGACAGGAGGGAGGAGAACTCAAATTCTTTTCCTCTTTTTGACCCAGCCCGTGTTCATGATGCCTACCCTGTGAAAGTCTCTCACCATCGGAAAAGTAAGTGGTGGCCGAGACATCTGGCACCCTGGAATTGTGTGGGGTGGAAAGGGGTGTACTCTGCTGGCCATCTAGCGCCGAGTCTCTTGGACAGGGGTCTCTTGAACAGAGCTGGATTTTTCCAGCCTGTATTGGAAAAAACTGTCTCCTTTCACATGATTTTACTGGTTGCCGAGAAATCCCATTTAAATGTTGACAGTTAAGAAAATGGCTGGGATCTCTGGGCTGCCTGAAGAACGAGTCTTTATCTCCCTCATTTGTTCTCTGCTGTGCTGGCTCCTCTGTCCCCTTCTCTGCCCGCCGGAAGTTGGGTCACTGGCTCCTTATCACAGTTCTTCTAAGAGTGTCCTCTGCCTGTTTACTGTGTATACTCTTTTGTTTCAATTTCTCAGCTTTTCCTCTGTTTCAGTTGTACTAGCAGACGATCTGTGGATCCATTTTATTTTCTCTGCTAGGAGTCGCTGCGCATGAAACTGGGTAAGGAGGTGGTGTGGACTCAGGGACTGTGCTTGGGATCCAAACACACCTTGGAGTGAATTTTGTGGCTGCTGTCACTGCACCCACGGCACCTAATCCTCTTCCACTAATAGCCTAGGTTGAGGCTGAGCTTTTCAGTACCTGCGAGTGCTAGGAGCATTTTAGAATTGGTTTTAGTTTAGTATCTATTCCTACTATGCCCCCAGCACTTTTTGTCACGGGAGAAGGAGACTAGTAGGATGAATGAGGCTTTTCCCAAAGTACAAGCCTTCTCCTGTTATGTAGAAGAAGGTTTTCTTCAGAGAAGTTTGTGAAATGCAGCATTGTGAAATGCAGTTAAGTGAGAGTTGTTACAGCAGGCCTTCCTTCCTGAAGTCTTTGTTGTGCTCATGTGCTACCGTGTGTGGGGGGCACTGTAGAATGTAGTGTCTTACAAATTGATTCTGCTATGGAGCCCTGTGTATATGGAACATTGGCTGCATTAGAGTTCTGTGGACTGCACTTTGGAAAATGCTAGTGTTAATTCTCTGAAACCATGACCTCGGGAAGCGCTTTGAGGCGGTCACAACAGCTTGACGCGTGCCACTTGGTGGATAGCTGATACTGGAGCTTGACTCTGGCTCAGCTGCACCTGGGGGACCGGCTCCACGTCTGCTATGAGCCCTGTGTTGAAGTAGGGGCTATCGGGGCTTTCCGGAGGAGGATCAGGAACCAGCTGCTTCCCCCCACTCTGAAAGCCTAGGAAGCCAGCTGGTGGAACCCCAGGATAGTGGTACTCAGTCTTGGAGTGTGTGTGTATTTGCAACTGTGGTCCATTTGTGCACATATGTATGCCCAGCTCACTCTTCGGAAGGATTACATCCTGGAATCTGACAGATTTGATCAACTCTCTTGACTCATTGAACGCCAAATACTAAGAAATAGATGCTTGGCCAAAGGCTGCTTTTTAAGAGAAAAGTAAATACATGTATCCCAGGTTTAGAAGGGTAGGAAGGTAATTCCCTTTAGGGGCACTCACTAATTCAAGCCATGTCTCTCAGTTGTGGAGGAGGAAAGTAGAAATGGAAATAGGTCACTACTCTGTATTAGGCTGGCTTTCTAGAAGCTCACAAATTAGATGGTGAGAAAGTGTGATTTTAAAAATCCTGGAAGTCTGGTAAGGTTGTGTGGGCTCCATGCAGATGTCAAGGAAGGCTTCATGGAGGAGGTCACACTAGAGTTGGGTCTAGAAGGACAGGAGGCGTAGGCCAAATGGGTGAATAAGGGCAGAGGATTCCAGGCTGAAAGCAGCACATGTAACACAAACATAGACTCTCAACTCAGGCATGAATAAGGGCAGAGAAATTAGTTTGGAGGGGCTGGTGGTAGGGTGCACCTGGGAGCTTCAGGCGTGTACCTACAGGCTGGGGAACGTGAAAGCAGGGCAGCCCCCCTGGACAGGGTGCCATCCGAGCAGACCAGGTGACCTTAGAGCACTCGGCTTTAACTCACATGCATGCTGTTGAATCTTGCACTTACTAAGCACTTAACTCCTCTGGTGTCATATCGTTTGGGCTTGCAAAGAACAAGCAGAACTTGAAAGCGCCTGCTCCTAAATGTCCCGCTGATATCTGGGAACTTGCTGCCTGCAAGCAGGTCACTTCTGGGGCAGGGCACTGCTGAGCCTCACCCCTGAGCAGACCTGTGCCTCGATCCCTGTGGCAGCTGTGGGGTGGCTGTGGGCGTGCTGGTGGTGGAATTGCCTCTGCTCGCCCCCGAAGGCTTCCTGTTCCAGGGAGAGTCCTGTGATCTTGCTGGTAGAGTTTATTACTGTTGTTGTTTTATAGTATGTAAAACTACCTTTGAGCTTGTGCCGTGTCATCTTTAACCTTCTCATGGACTCTGGGTGATATCTCGTTTGTACACATGACAACTCCAAGGCTCTGAGGTTTAAACAGCCCAGGAACAGCACAATCACAATTTGAACCCAGCTCTCTCTGATTCCAGAATCTCATCTTCAGCGCCAGCTACCTTGTGAGACCCTGTTCTCCTTCCGGTGACTTTCCTCTTCTGCTTACGTGTATTCCCTATGTCTCCAAGAGTCTTTCCTGCTGGGCCACAGGAAGCCCGATAGCAGTGTACTCTCCTTTTCTGCTTTGGAGGAGCCAGTATTTTCTTCCCCTTCTCAGAGCGATGCTGTCTTTCTTTTATTTCTTAATTCTATTTATTTATTTATTTTTGGCTGTGCTGGGTTTTCTTTGCTGTGTGACAGCTTTTCTCTAGTTGCAGCGAGCAGGGACTACTCTCTAGTTGTGGCGCTTGGGCTTCTCATTACTGTGGCTTCTCTTGTCGCAGAGCACAGGCTCTAGGGCTCGAGGGCTTCAGCTGTTGCAGCTCCCGGGCTCTGGCTCAGTAGTTGTGGAGCACGGGCTTAGTTGCTCCTCAGCATGTTGGATCTTCCAGAACCAAGGATAGAACCCTGTCTCCTGCATTGGTAGGTGGATTCTTTACTGCTGAGCCACCAGGGAAGCCCCATCTGCTGTCTTTCTTTTTTTTTTTTTTTTGACAGTTATTTGTTTATTTGGCTGCATCACGTCTTAGTTGCAGCAGTGGGATCTTGGGTGTGTCATGCAGGATCCTTCGTTGCAGCACTGGGACTGTCTAGTGGGCTGAGTTGCTCTGTGGCACGTGGGATCGAAGTGCCCCAACCAGAATTGAACCTGCATCCTCTGCATCACAAGACAGATTCTTAATCACTGGACCACCAGGGAAGTCCCTGTCTTTCTTACTCACACCCTTGATAGTAGGCACCATGCTATGAAAATCTCACAGCTGTGGTATATTCCTGAGGAGGAAGGCAGAAACGGACACACAGTCACTTCTCTCTCTCATCTCTCCAAAAATCTTGAATATCAAAAAAATAACTTGTAGCTTTAGATAAAACATGTGGGTTCCCATTTCCCTGTGGGTCTCTCTGTCTCCTCACTCTTTGGGATACTTAGTTCCTAAGGGCCAGTTTTCAGTTATTAGGAATGTTTATTTTTTTTCTGCTTTTCAGAAGCTGGTTCAGCTTGCTTTGGCAGTTTCTCTGTAGATTCACTCCTGGGCAGTACCCTGTCATCTCCCAGATAGGGCGCGTGCCGGGTTGGGTGGAGAGCGGGTGGCTGTGATTAGGGTCCAGGGGAGGGAGGGGCTGACAGGGAAGTGCTGAGTGTTGAGGAGGGCAGATCCAGGCGTACACAGCTGTGTACACCACCCCTTATCCTTGGAAAGGCCTTTTTCCTGCGACTTGCCAGGGTTTTGAGGGCTCTGCTGAAGAAATGGCTCTGTGCGTGGTGGGGACTCTGAGGAACTTTGGTTCAGGGACTGCCAGCCTCATCTGGGGACCAGCTTCTCTAGTCTGTCTGCCTCTTTTGACTTTGAGTAAAGATCTCTAGCACTCTGGAGTTAAGCCTCATGGCCCCTAACTTGTTATTGCCATGTGAAAAAACAAAAAACAGGCCACAAAGATGTGCATGTGATTGAGGATTGAGTAAGAGCAAAAGAGCTACCACACAGAAACAGATTGGGATGATAAGCAACTGTTAATAGTGCCTATTGTAGAACTGTGAGGTTATGGGTTTTTTTTCCCTTTAGTTCCCACATTTTCTACAGTAGACACATTTATAATGAAAAGACAACAATAAACATTTATAAGTATAAATTGTAGAAGTAGACCACGTTTATTTGAGGATCAGCCCTCCTTGCGATCCTACCCACTGGCAACCAAAGATAAAAATAAAAACAAAGAAACAAAACCTGATAAGATTCAGGGCCGTCAGCGCTGGGCAGCAGAGTGGCCCAAGAGGGTGGTGGAAGTGCCTGACCTTGAGCATCACTTTGCTTTCACCGTTCTGAGTGTTCAGAGCCTTTTCTCAGGGGGTGATGTATAGGAAATAAGTGCGATTTCTGTCATTCTTTTCTGCCTAATACTGAGAGGAGGACATCTCTGTATGTTACCTTGTGCTTCCCCCATCTTTCTCTGAGGTTGGTGAGGCAGGCCTGTCCTTGTTCACCCAGCAGGGGACAACCAGAACTGACCCAAGCTCAGGGCCCTGGGTGCCCACACTGTGTGATAGGAAGAGGGACCCAGGCAGTCCCTTCCTAGTTTTGAGATGCTGGCTCTGATCTCTCTGTCCGCAATCTGGTCCTGGAGGGCCATGTTCTGGATGGGCCTCTGAGCCAGGCCCAGTGCCCCTGCTGCTCACACTCTTCTTGCACCCCAGCAAAAGGTCCCTGAGTTTGCTCACATCTCTTCTCTCTCACAGCGCAATGTCCCTGCTCTTCTCTCGATGCAACTCCATCGTCACAGTCAAGAAGGATAAGAGACACATGGCTGAAGTGAATGCTTCCCCGCTCAAGCACTTTGTCACCGCCAAGAAGAAGATCAATGGCATTTTCGAGCAGCTGGGGGCCTACATCCAGGAGAGCTCCACCTTCCTGGAAGGTGAGGCGGGCACCCTGCTCAGCCAAGCCTGCTCCTGTCAGCCTCAGTATTTAGGGGGCAGAATTGGGGGCAGGGAGGTACAGCCCTGCCCTTGACGAGCTCACACCCAGGTGGGTTGTCATCTTCAGTGGTACTCTGCTCCTGGAATCACATGGAACTGGGCTCCAGGGAGATGGGCCACGGAAACACGGGACCTATCCTTGAAAATTCTATAGATTCTGCTCCACTTAATCATAAGGAGTGGGTGAATCATATCCTTACCTGAAGGACAAGCAGACTGAGGTTCTGAGAGTCGTTGATACCCTGTAAGTGACACAGTGGACTGTACCCGGGACTGTACTTTGGCTTAACTCCAAAGCCCAGGTGTTTTGCTTGGCCCAGCCTGGCTGCCATCAGTCCCCCACCCTGTGTCTGGGTGTTGGTTATTCCTAACCAGGGTGTTCTCTCTGATATTTTTAGATACCAGGACTTTGAATAGGAAACTTGCATCACCGGCACCTTTTCCTCTAGTTACTAATTTGAGCCCAACCTTAATCCTCACTCTGTCAGCAGAGAAGGACTGGTTTCCAGGGCCCCACTCAGTCTGAGCACCAACTCCAGCCACTGTCTTCTGAGACTCCCTGTCTAAAAGGCACACCTTGGCTCCAGGCCCTGGGGTTATCAGTGAACAGTCAGTAGCTGAATCTTACTGGTTTTGCTTTCCTCATTTGTGAAAGAGGAGCTTAGGGGAGACCAGGGGTTTCCTAATTCTAGTCTGTAGAACCCTAGAAGTTCAGCGGGAATGCCTCAGGGACATGCTTCTCTCTACTTGGTCCCTTCCCCTGGAGCAGCTTGGCTTCTGGTTGGTGACGCGTCAGGCTGCTCCTTTAGGCTCCCTCTAAAGAAAGGAAGTAGTCCCAGTACTGGGGTCTGAACGTTCGTCCCTCTGCTCACGTGTTGGAATCCTCAGGCCCAGTGTGATGGTGTTAGGAGGCGGGGCCTTGGGGAGGGGTTACATCATGAGGGTGGAGCCCTCATGAGTGAGATTAGTGCTCTTATTAGAGAGACCCCATGAAGCTCCCTTGCCTCTTCTGCCACATGAGGATCTGACTAGAAGTCTCCCACCTGAAAGAGGGCCCTCACCTCACCAGGCTGGCACCCTGATCCAAGACTTCCAGCCACCAGCACTGCAAGCAGCACACTTCTGTTGTGTCTAAGCCTCCCAGTCATGGTGTTTTGTAAGAGCAACCTGAACAGACTAAGGATGGACTCTTCATGCGCTGCCCTCAGCATGGTGCTTAATGCAGGAAAGGTGTTCACAGAGAATTTGTTCAGTTTAAAGATCTGAATTTCAGGGGTGTAGGATTGGTAGTTGAAATGATTCCAGTCTAGTATCTGTTTGTTTAGCAGTAGTTCTTGCGTGCAGAGATGGGACAGACCAGGCTGCTCTCCCCTCCGGAGCCAAGACTAACCCTCTGTGATCCTCTAACTCACTCCCATGGTTCTCTGGAGGAACACGTGGTTCATAATGAAGATGTTTGTGCGATGGCATCAGGAGTGGGTGTTTTGATTTCCCTTTTTGTGAAAACAGGAGGCTTCTCATACTGGTGGACCTCCAGGGAGCGAAAAGCATTGGGGTGATCCTGAGATGTATTTGGGATTGTCCCGGCCAGGGGAGGGGAAGGCTACTGCCTGGGACTGTTCTCTAAAGGGCAGTAGCAAAAAATAAAAAATAAATAAAGGGCAGTAGCAAGAGCTTGTCAGCTGATGGCTTTTTCTTTTAAATTTTCTTTCTCCAGTCACAGGCTGGAGAGCCAGCTTCCTCTGGGGCACATTCCAAAAGCCACACCCTTGTGCCCATTTAAGGGAAGAATGTTGATGGTCTGAGAAGGGATGACCGGTGGACGGGGAGGCCTCGTTGGCACCAGCTGTAGGGGAAACTCACTGGGCGGCTCCGAAATGCACCTGTCGTGCTCTGGGACCGTTCTCAGGGCTGGGACCTGTCAGCCCAGTGGTTCACAAGCGCCTTAGTCTGTTTGGGCAGCTGTAACAGAAATGCCATAGACTGGGTGACTTGTAAACAACACATATTTATTTCTCACAGTTTGGGGAGGCTGGAACACCCAAGACCAGGGCAGCAGCAGATTTGGTGTCTGGTGAAGGCTGGCTTCCTAGACTGCTATCTTTTCTCTGTAGCAGCTCATGTAATCACATAGCAGAAGGGGCTGGCTACTTCTCAGGTTTTCCTTTATAAGGACACTAAGCCTAGGCATGAGGCTCCATCTCTATATACAGGTGACCCTCAAATAGCATGAGTTTCAACTGCACAGATCCACTTATACATGGTTTTCTTCCCATAGTAAGTACTGCAGTAGTACAAAATCCATGGTTGAATCCGTGGATACAGACTGTGGATATAGAAGGGCTGTGCATACAGAAGCTGACTAAATGACATGCTGATTTTTGTTTCGAGGATTGGCACCCCCAAGCCCCATGTTGTTCAAGGGTCAGCTGTACCATCACACTGTCATCACACGGGGCACGTAAACATTCCATCCATTGCAGCCAGGGTGTGCTGAGGGGCAGACACCCGTCTGCAGTCCAGCCAGCTCAGGACCTTCTTGGCGCAAGTGCTGGATGGGAAGGGGACAGGGTCTTTCTCAGTTGCTCCCATATGTTATAACATGTTATCCAGCCACGTGGCAAGGGCCCTGGGGAAAAGCAGTGCAGTGATCCGAGGATCTATTCACTTAGCAAACATCGTGTGCCTGCTGAGTGCGGGGGTCAGACAGCTGGGCCCTCACGTGGTAGGTGAGGTGATGCACACAGGTGAGTGGGGCAGTTACCCTATGCTGAGACAAGGGCTAAGATGCAAGAAGTCCAGGATGCCGCGGGGACACAAGCCAGGAGGACCTGACTCAGGTTGGTGGGATCAGGGCAGGCTAAGTGAGAATAGGCCAGAGCACCCAGAGGTGGTACGTTAGTTCTTCAGAGGGGTAGGGTGAAGAAGCCCCAAGCAAAGCCTGGAGCGGTGGTGAGTGTGGGAATGTGTTGAGGCAGGATGGAAGGCGGAGGTGCCCAAGACCCAGCTGGAGCAGTGAGGGGCCAGGTCAGGCAGGGCCTCAGGAAGGTGCACAGTGACCTGGACTCAGCCCTGACCCCGCCGTCTACTATCTCTGATGGGTACATGACGCGGATTAAATGAGGCCATGCTTGACCAGAACAGTGCCTGGCATATAGTGAGAACTTGATGAGTGTACGTTAAGTACAAAACATATAAGTAAATGATGGCAGTCAACATTTGGGTCTTCATCAGATACCTGCCCCATTCTTGGCACTTCAGTGTTTTAATTCAGTTAATCCTTTCTCCAGCCACATGAAGTAGGTGCTGTTGTTATTTCTGATTTAAGGCTAAAGAAATTAAGACACAGGAAGGTTCATTTGTCTGAGGTCACAAAGCCAGGAAGAGGTAAGAACCAACACTTGCACTGGAACCCAGCAGTCTTGCTCCTAAGCCAAGTTCTTTATTGCACTAGGGCCCACAGGAGTCTGGACCTCCAGCCGGGGAACAGAGTGCCGCGGGGGTGGGTTCTGCCATCCAGACTGGAACTCTGAAACTCTGACGGTGGGCTGAACTGTTTTCAATCTACACCTGCAGAAACCTACAGGAATGCAGAACTGGACCCGGTTACGACAGAAGAACAGGTTCTGGACGTCAAAGGTTATCTATCCAAAGTGAGGGGCATCAGCGAGGTGCTGGCCCGGCGGCACATGAAGGTGGCTTTTTTTGGCCGGTGAGTCTCAAAGTCCTCATGCCTTCTTTCTTCCCAGCTGGGAGGGAGGGAGGCATGCTCTTTGTGCTGGATGCGACCACCCCAAGGTGGGGAAGCAGGCAGCACACCGCAGAATTTGGCACTCTCCCCTTTATTTTTTTAAATTTAGCAGTGGTAAAATAGACATAACAAAATTTCCCATTGTAACCTTTCTTAAGTGTACAGTTTTGCTTTGTTAAATACATTCACATTGTTACGCAACTGTCACCACCACCAGTCTCTAGAACTTCTTCCCTGGAAAATGGAAATTTACCTGTTAAGTAACATCTCCTGGTCCCTTCTCCCCCACCCGCTGGTAACCACCCCTCTACTTTCTGTCTCTCTGAATTTTCTGACTCTGGGAACCTCATATAAGTGAAACCGTGTCTTTTTGTAACTGGCTTATTTCAGTCAGTATAATATCCTCCAGAATCATCCATGTCATAGCATTTGTCAGAATCCCCTCCCTTTTAAAGGCTGAACAGTATTTCGTTGCATGTATATTCCATATCTTGTTTATCCATTCATCCCCTATGGACACTTGTTGCTTTCCCTTCCTGGTTACTGTGAGCAACGCTGCTATGAACAAATAGCTGTTTGAGACCCTGCTTTCACTTCTTTTGGATATATACCCAGAAGTGGAGTTGCTGGATCATTCCGTTTTTAAGTTTTTGAGAAGCTGCCCACCATATGGTTTTCCATAGTGACTGTAACATTTTAATTCCCACCAGCAGTGCACAAGGGTCCCAGTTTTTCTGCATCCTTCCAATACTTATTTACTGGGTTTTTTTTTGACAGTAGCCATCCTAATGGGTGTGAGTTAGTAGCTTTTACAGTTTTGATTTGTAATCCCTAATGCTTAGTGATATTGAGCATCTTTTCATGTGTTTGTTGGCCACTTGTATATCTTCCTTGGAGAAATGTCTGTTCAGGTCCTTTGCCTACTTTTAAATTGGGTTGTTTGGGAGTTTTTGTAGTTGTTTTGTGATTTTTTTGTGTGTTTTTTGAGTTGTAGGAGTCCTGAATTTCCTTATCAGATATATGATTTGTAAATGTTTTCCCCCATTTTGTCGGTTACCTTTCCACTCTGTTGACTGTGTCCTGTGATGCACAGTTTTTTATTTTGATATAGTCCAATTTATTTATACTTTTCTTTGTTTATACTTTTGACATTGTATCTAAGAAACTGCCAATTCCAGTGTCATGAGGCTTTCCCCCCTATGTTTTCTTCTAAATGTTTTATACTTTTAGCCCTCAGATCTCTTTGTTAGGCTTTGAGGTCAGGTAGGCACCTCTAGAATGTCTGCTACATTGCCAGGGAATTCTTCTCCAGTTCTGAGTGGGCACTTACTGGTGTCCTGCCCAGTGAACTTGGTTCTGACATTCTACCAGGAGGCGGCAGACCCTGCAGGTTAAGAACTTGGTGCACAGATAGCCTCACTTCAGATGCCGTTCGGACCTGTGCTTTTGATCAACTGGCTATAAATCAGAGGTTCCCACAACCTCCTCCTCGAGTTTAATCTGCTTGAGCAGCATTCACTTAGGTTTACTGGCTTGTTACAAAGGATATTGTGAGGGATACAGATGAAGAGGTGCCCAGGGCGAGGTCTGGGAGGGTCCTGAGCATGAGAGTTCTCTCCCCGTCAACTAGGGCACACCGCCTTCCACCCTGAAGCTCATCAGATCTCACTGTTCAAGAGATTGATGGGACTTAGTCTACAGCCCCCCTCCTTCCTTTTCCTGGAGGTAGGTGGGTGGGGCTGAAAGTTCCAACCCTCTTACCACTTGGTCTTTCTGGTGATCAGATCATCCTGAGGCTGTGGAGGGGCCACCTTAGTCACCTCATGAGTGTAAACAGGTGTGCTCAGCAGGGGCTCCTTATGAGTAACTAGGGACACTCCTGTCACTCAGGAAATTCCAGGAGTTGCCAGGAACTGGGGACAAAGACCAAATATATGTCTTCTTAAACCACAGCACCTTTAAAAAATTAAAGCCCAATCAGTATGGGTCGCAGAGAGTCAGACCCGAGGGAGCAGCTAAGCACAGCACAGGGCAAGAAGGCCTCGGGGAGGCGGGTGCTCTGCACACAGTGATGGCCTGAGGCGTCGGCGCTCTGCCCCGCTGCCCCTCTGCGCCTCCTCACCTGGCCGTGTCCTTCAGCCTTTGGGCCTGGCTTTTCAGCCTTGCCTCAGAACTGTGGCCCTGGCTGTGGTGAGCTGGAGCTGATGAGTTTGCGGAGTGGAGCTGTCTTAAAGAAAAAGAAGGTAGAAGAGCGGGTGGCAGGCAGAATGCTACCATAATCTACCCTGGAGCAGGCCCTTACAAGCTGGGAGTGACGGGTGGGGCTTCATGTTTGAGAGGAACCTGGTGCGAGAAAAGCAGCAAAATTGGCCTTCTGTAGAAAAACTCTGGGGTCATTCAGCTGAGGTCACTTAGACAGAAGAAGCCACCCTGGGGTGAGTCGGTGGCTTCTGGTAGAAGAGGAGGAGTGGGTTAGTCTTCTGAGTCAGACAAGTGGTCTCCTGCATGATGCTGAGAGCCTCATGTTGGTGGGGGCTCACTCAAGGGCAGGTAGTGTCTGCATGCTGGCATCACACCACGGGAGCCCGGTGTAGTTGGTTTGCCATGATGAACTGGGGCATGTCACACACACAGGCCACCAGCGTTGTCCATCCATTTTCATAAGCACAGAGCACCCACTCTGCCTGTGTGCGCACTGATGTCACTATAGAGGACAAGGCTTTGGACCTCCAGGCTGTCCCTTCTTAGTGACAACCTGAGTTGCAGATGGCAGTAGCTTCACTGGGTTTCCTTGTAGGACGAGCAACGGGAAGAGCACCGTGATCAATGCCATGCTCTGGGACAAAGTGCTGCCCTCCGGGATTGGCCACACCACCAACTGCTTCCTGCGGGTGGAAGGCACCGATGGCCACGAGGCCTTCCTCCTCACGGAGGGCTCAGAGGAGAAGAGGAGCGTCAAGGTGAGAGGGCCCTGCTGGCCTGGCTTTTGGCCCTAGTCACACTGGTGGGTCAAGTCTGGGCTGAGACCAACCAGTGGGTCTGTTATGCCAGGACCCACAGCACCTCTAAGAAGGGGGCCGTGTCCCTGTAGTGGAGTTTGGGGAGCCCTGTCCTAGCCTGGCTGTTTAGGGAGTGTGAGAGCTTCAGGGAGGTTCTGGAGCCTGAAATTCACAGACCTTGTGAATTGCTGGGCAGGCCTTTTCTCTTTGCAATGCAGAGTGTGTTTGCCTTGTTCTTGGGGGAGTTGCCAGAGAGCCATCCCTGCATTTGCTCCGTGATTCCGATGTTTCAGCTCAGGGTTCGCGTGCTTTCATTTTTCTGAGAGCCAGCTGCACTTTGGGTTGGGGCCAGATGCTCGTTTTGGTTCATAAAGAATTAATTAATGCAGAACAACATCCAAGAAAGAAACTTAACGGAGGAGTGAAGGATAGTTGGTTCTTGCTAGCAGCTCCCAGCTCTTGACTTTGTATGCATGAAATGAAAGAGGGGTAGCAGATTGGCCTGTGGTCCAGGCCACTGTCCTGGGGCTAGGCTGCACTGGTCTCCAGCCCATAGGCTCTTCCTTGGCCCTGATTATCCTCTGCCTCCACCCTCATCAGACAGTGAACCAGCTGGCGCACGCCCTTCACCAGGACGAACAGCTGCATGCGGGCAGCCTGGTGAGTGTGATGTGGCCCAACTCCAAGTGCCCGCTTCTCAAGGATGACCTGGTGCTGATGGACAGGTGAGAGGGCAGGTGCCTCCCCCGGATGCAGACGGGGAGGGCCCCAGGTTTCCATTTCTGGGTTCTCCAGGCCAGTGTCCCCAAGGTCATGTTGTTGCTCTGCTGAAGTATATTACTTTTTAAACCAGCTTAACCACATGTTCCAGCCTTGTGGATTTCCTTCAGGGTCTGGTTATTGTATCATCTTGGCAGGCATTGACCCGAAGATCTCCCAGTGATGGTCTGTAAAGAGGGATAGGAAGGATGCTCGAAAGTGGGGGAGGTTCTCGGCCTCAGCCCAATGTTAGTATGTTTATTGGAGGAGGGGTGGAGCTTGTTCTTGATGAGGTCCCTGTTGTGTTTTATTTTTCTCAAGGCAACATTTTGCTCCTGTTTTGTGGACAGGCTATAACTATACCAAGAAATTTGGTACGAGGGTGCTTGCTGGACTCACAGAAATGTAGCATTTCACCTTAATTGTATACCCACAAAGTAAAATGCAGGGGCTTCCCACGGGTAAAGAACCTGCCTGCCAGTGTAGGAGATGCAGGTTTGATCCCTAGGTTGGGAAGATCCCCTGGAGAAGAGCGTGGCAACCCACTCCAGTATTCTTGCCTAGAGAATCCTGTGGACAGAGGAGCCTGGCAGGTTACAGTTAGTCCATGGGGTCGCAAAGAGTTGGACACGACTAAAGCAACTTAGCATGCAAACATGCATGCACAAAATAAAATTAAAATCTTTAGGTTTTTATATGAGTGATAGATGCATATGACAAAAAACACATTTTCAGACAGTCTGGAAGGATATGAGATGAAAAGTAAGAATCCCTCCAATAAGGGTGATTGCCCTCCCCTCTGTAGCTTTCTCTTCCTTTGCCTGCTGCCTCAGGTCTGTTCAGAGCAGGAAGAATAGGGCCCCGGGTCTGATGATGGTTTACCCCTGTCACCCCCAGCCCTGGCATCGATGTCACCACAGAGCTGGACAGCTGGATTGACAAGTTTTGCCTGGACGCCGACGTGTTTGTGCTGGTGGCCAACTCGGAGTCCACCCTGATGCAGACGGTAACCCATCCTCTGCCTTTCCCCACACTCCCAAGATCCAGCCGAGTAGACGGGCCAGCAGGGCCTTGGCTGGCACAGCCCCTCCTTCACTGAGGTCTTTCCCCTCATCCAGGAAAAGCAATTCTTCCACAAGGTGAGCGAGCGCCTGTCCCGCCCTAACATCTTCATCCTGAACAACCGCTGGGACGCGTCTGCCTCGGAGCCTGAGTACATGGAGGAGGTGGGCGCCTCTTACTCGGCAGCTTGGGGACTGCCACCCCATGTGTCTACCCAGACTCTCTGCATGCTCTTCCCAGCCGCGTCCCTGAATGAATTTCATCACCAAAGTGTCCCATGAGGTCTTTGGGGTCACTATGGGACCACTTCACTTCTCCCATTCACTTTCCCGGACCCCTCTCCTCTTTTTTTTTTTGGAGTGTAACTGCTTTACAATGTTGTGTTAGTTTCTGCTGTATAACAGAGTGGATCAGCTGTATGTATACGTGTATCCCCTTCCCCTCTAATCTTCAGAAGGCTTTCCTTCGTGCTGAGAGGCCTCCATACCACATTAGCCGAGTCCTTGCTTGGGACCAGTGCTCTCCTTAGTTCTTGAAGAATGAGTCAGAGGCGTAGCTTTGAAAGACATCCAGGAGAGCTTAAAAGAAGAGCAAAGGATAATTGGTTCTTACTGACAGCTCAGAATGCTTTACTTTTTATGGGTAACATGAAAGAAAAAGGAGTCACAGGTGCTATGGGGCAGTGATGAAGTGTGTAGTCAGCAGATGCGGTGCAGTGTGACTGATAAACTCCCTAACCTACCCTAACTAACCCAGGTAAATCCTAACCTGTGAGCTGAGTGTAATAGATGGAGTTGTGGAGAGGATGAGATCTGTTCACCTTGAGAAAAGGCCTGGCACGTGGCAGGTGTCCACCGGAGGCTGTTGTCACTTTGAAGTTCCAGCAGTGGAGCCCTAGGGCTTCAGAGCGAGGAGGGATTTTCAGGTGGCACCCACTCATTCATTAAGCAAGGCCAGGGAGGACTCAGCTTGTCAGTACAGAGTCCACGTGTGGGTTTCTTGTTTTTCTTAATATATTTCTAATTGGGGGAAAATTGTTTTACAGTGTTGTGTTGGTTTCTGCTGTACAACAGAGTCAGCCATAATCATACATATATCAACTCCCTCTTGAGCCTTCCTGCATGCCCCCCTACAGGTGTGGGTTTCTTGACCCCCAGCTTCCTTTCCTTCTGGGGCACCAAAGGGAGACTTTTGTAGGCTTTTAACAAGGCAGTTTGGGGCATGTGTGAACATTTCTGCTTCTTGATACCTCAGGTGTCTTGGACAGGCTGCACCCCGAGGAACCCTGTGACTTGGGATCTGGGGAGCCTGGTGACTGGAGGACAGATGGTGGGACATGATCGCTGCATGTGTGTTGATACCTTCTGAATCCTGAGCCGTGTGACTAGATTCCCTGTGCTCTTAGAAAAGAGGCCACCGGGGGCCATGGGCTCCCTCAGGAGGGCCCCCTCACACCCCACCTGGTCATACAATACCTGTCTGCTTGGGCTCCAGGTGCGGCGGCAGCATATGGAGCGCTGCACCAGCTTCCTGGTGGATGAGCTGGGTGTGGTGGATCGGGGCCAGGCTGGAGACCGCATCTTCTTCGTGTCCGCCAAGGAGGTGCTCAACGCCAGGATCCAGAAGGCCCAGGGCATGCCCGAAGGAGGTGACGATAGAACCAGCTCCTTGCTTTTCCCTGACGCTTGAGACATTGGGTCTGGTGCTAAGTCAGCCGGTAGAAATAGTTGTGAGAATGAGGTAGTGAGACGAGCCCTGGGTGAGAAGCTCTTGGCTGCCTGAGTTATTTCTGGACTAACGTGGTGCACTTCTCCTAGGGGGCGCTCTTGCAGAAGGCTTTCAAGTGAGGATGTTTGAGTTTCAGAATTTTGAGAGGAGATTTGAGGTGAGCATGAGCCTTTGATCCTGTTGTCTAGAGATTCTGTGCCTCCCTGGCGCTCCCCGGCCACGTCCCTGGCAGTTGAATGCCAGAGCCTGGCTCTTGGCTGGTGGCCCCTGCCTCCCTTGGCACCTCTTGTCTGCTCCAGGAGTGCATCTCCCAGTCGGCCGTGAAGACCAAGTTTGAGCAGCACACGGTCAGGGCCAAGCAGATCGCGGAGGCCGTCCGCCTCATCATGGACTCTCTGCACATTGCAGCGCAGGAGCAGCGGTAAGAGCCCGGGAGCAGACTGGCGGAGGGAGTGTGGCCGTGACCACCTCACCCCCATCTGAGCCTGGGCCCAGGGCCAGCACTCAGCTGGCAGAGCAGGGTCTCAGGGTTTCCACCAGACCATGTCTGAGCCACGAGGAGCAGCCAGTGAGGAGGTTGTGGGGCGTCTGTCTGTCCCACCTGGTCTGTGCAGTGAGCTTCCCCAAAAGTCTGAGCTGGCAGCCTTGGTCCAGTGCTACGCCAAGCACTGCAGCCATTCTCAGGACTGGAAGCAGAAAGCACTTCTTCAGAATACCTTTTTTGGGGACTGCCCTGGTGGTCCACTAGTTAGGACTCCGAGCTTCCACTGCAGGAGACGCAGGTTCGATCCCTTGGCGGGGAATTCAGATCCCACATGCTGTGCAGCATGGCCAAAAAAACCTTAAAAAGAGAATTAATAGATGCTCTTTTTTGAGAGATTAAAATATATGAGAAAGTACAGAGAATAATATATCTTGTTTCCGTTGCCCGCAATTGACAATATTTGTTTTATTGTCAGAATAAAACAAATAAAACACAGAAAAAACTATTGAATACCCTTTGATTCTTCAGTCCCTGCCCTAGTGTCCCTCTGCCTGCTCCTCAGAGGTAACTGCCATCATGAATTTGGTGTGTAGTCTTGTCATTCAATAAAAAGTGCTTTTTATGTAAATCCTGAAGAATGCACAGTGTTGCTCTGTGTGTGTTTCAGATGTACAGGTACGGGAACATGCAATACTTGGCTTCGCTTTCCATTCAGCATTGTTTTTTTTCTCTGTCCTTGTTGATGCCTATAGTTGGAGGTTAGGACTTTTCGTTGAGGTAGAGCAGTTCTCAGTTTCCTGTAGATTCATCTTTAGATTTCATTATTTTACTATTATAGACCCTCCTGCTGTGGACACCAGTTTTTGTGTCCCCTGGTGTGTATCTGCTAGAGACTAGCATTAATTCCTGGAGGTGGAGTGTTCTGTCTTGGGATGTATACGTTTCAACTTTACCCAATTTTACCCGTGGCTTTCTGAAACATCTGGCCCTGCCTGTGGTCCCACCAGCAGTATATGCTGGAACTCCCATTCCCCAACCCTGATCTGTACTTCAGACTTGGTGATTTGAGCCAGGCTTTTGGGTAGTGTTGTACCCCTTTTTCTCTTTTCCTTGTTTACTAGTGGAGTTTTTTCTATATGAATGGCAGAGCTTGTTATAAAGTTCCTGAAAAAGCACCCTCCCCTATCTGTCACCACCACATCCTCCGAATTTGGAAAACTTAAGAGCGAGTTGTTAGCACTGTCTCTCCCTCCTGCCTGGGAAGAGGAAGAGCAGGCCTCCAGGGTGTGCACAGAATACCAGGATCACAGGTGGAGCCCACAGACTTCCCGGCACCCCCGGCACCACCTCCTCGGCTTAGTCGGGTAACCAGAGCTCTTTCTCTCAGGGTCTACTGCATGGAAACGCGTGAAGAGAGGCAGGAGCGGCTGAGGTTTATTGATAAGCAGCTGGAGCTCTTGGCGCAAGACTACAAGCTGAGAATTAAGCAGATTACAGAGGAAGTCGAGAGGCAGGTGAGAAGTGGAGGAGGAAGGACACTGGGGAGATTTGGGCTCCGAGTAGAGGCCAGGCACTCGAAAAGTGAAAACACAGACATCCTTTTCCTTGGGGGCTCCTCAGCCTTCCAGGAGGAAGCCATAGCCCTGATTCAAGAATGTGGTGCCTCCCGGGGTTTGCTGTTCCATTGTGTGACCCCGGGCAAGTCCTCCTCCTCTGGGCCGCCTCCTCCACAGCTTAGATGAGTTTCGGTCAGCCGATCTCTAATACCCCTGAATTCAAAAGCTTTAATTCTGCAGGCCCTCTGTGGACACTGCAGGTTTGCAGGGAGGCAGACCCAGTCTCCTGGAGCCTGTTAGGTGCTCCTGGTGCTGTGGAGTGGAGCCACGTCCCCTCGGGCCACTCACCAGCACACTTCCTCTGCTGCAGGTGTCGACCGCGATGGCTGAGGAGATCCGGCGCCTCTCTGTGCTGGTGGACGAGTACCAGATGGACTTCCACCCTTCCCCCGTGGTCCTCAAGGTTTACAAGAATGTGAGTCATTAAGTGGCAGGGGCTCCCCTTGTTTCCTGTTGGCTGTGGATGGAGTCACCACGAGACACGGATTCAGCCCCTGCTGGTCTGAGTCAGGGCCCCTCAGCCAGGGACTTGAGCCTCAGGCTTCATTCCACCTGCCTGCCGCTGTCACCTGCTGGGTCTGGACTGACCAGCCTCTGAATGCCTGGCCCTGGGCTCCCTGGAGGGAACCCCTGGTGTAAGGCACCGCTTCCTTTTCCCTCTCTTCTTGCTTCAGGAACTGCACCGCCACATAGAGGAAGGACTGGGCCGAAACATGTCAGACCGCTGCTCCACGGCCATCACCAACTCCCTGCAAACCATGCAGCAGGAGATGATGGGTCAGTGCCGCAGGGGCTCAGGACCAGGGCTCTGGGTGCCCGAGATCAGTTTCAGGCCAGCCTGCAGAACTAATGACTTTTCCTTATCTGTCCTCTTTTGTGATGAGTCAGCTCCATACCTTGAGGTTCTGGGCATGTGTTGTGAGTTCATTCCACGCATAGACTAGGGGTGAGCAGGGGAGGGGGCGTCTTGACTAGCAGAGGCTGAGAGCTTGGTCTGCTCCTTAAATCCACATATCAGTGGGTACAGAGTCTGAGTCTGCATACCCCACCCACAGACCGGCTCATCCGGGCCTGGTTTCTGGGTCGCACTGCCAGCATCCTCGCCAGCGGCAGGTGCGGTGAGGCTCAGCACTGGCGAGGCACAAGGCTGAGCCACTCTGCTTTCTCCCCACTTCTGTTCCCGACAGACGGCTTGAAACCCCTCCTTCCTGTGTCTGTGCGGAGTCAGATGGATATGCTGGTCCCTCGGCAGTGTTTCTCCCTCAGCTACGACCTCAACTGTGACAAGCTGTGCGCCGACTTTCAGGAGGACATTGAATTTCACTTTTCCCTCGGGTGGACCATGCTGGTGAACCGGTTCCTGGGCCCCAAGAACAGCCGCCGGGCCTTGATGGGCTACAGCGACCAGGCAAGCGGAGTCCCTCACCCTTGGGTATTGAGGGAGGCTAGTCTGCGCCCTGGGTATTCAAGCCATTCTGAATGGGGCTCCTGGAGGTCATGGCTGTGGCATGTGGGCCACCACCACGGTCAGGTTTTTGCCACAAATCAACCTAGTTTTATGGTAGGCACTAATATTTGTGAAATTACAAAAGCAAGCTGTATTTTTTTTTATTAAGCTTATAAGTATGTAATTATTAAGTCTAGATGACCAGTCTGTCCAGATACCACCGTTTTCATGTTTAAATGTTAACCCCCATCTCTGTACCTCTGGAGGTATCACCTGGGCTGCTCTTGGGCCACATCTCAGGCTTGGGGACCTAAGCTGAGGCCTTCCAGGGTGGCTGCAGCTCATGATCTGTGGTATCCATGGTGTTTACCTTTGGGCTGGCAGGTCTGTTAGGAAGCTGAAATCCTTGTCTGCTACACGTGGAGCTCATTTTCCATCTTGGAAGGTGAAGTCACGCCCCGTGTCCCTGTTCTGGACTCTTGGCCCTGAGGGTTCCCGAGGGTTTCACGGAATGGGAGATTTGCTGCCTTCTTCTTCTTAGCCGCCCTGTTTCTCTCCACAGGTGCAACGGCCCATGCCCCTGACCCCAGCCAACCCCAGCATGCCCCCACTGCCCCAGGGCTCCCTCACCCAAGAGGAGCTCATGGTTTCCATGGTCACGGGCCTGGCCTCCCTGACGTCCAGGACCTCCATGGGCATTCTCGTTGTTGGAGGAGTGGTCAGTGACAAGCCCAGCATGGGAAGGGTGGGGGCAGGTGGGTGGGACCGAGGGGCAATCTGGTGGGGGTCCCTGCGTCAGCCCGGCACTTTACATCCACGATGACTTTTCGCTATGATCTCAGGAGCCATGCACCTTAGCCCTGAAATGTACATTTCTGGACGGAAGTCTCATTCAACATAAGGTGACACTGAGGTTCCCATTTTGCAGAAAAAAATCTGCAGTTGGCTTGCCAAGGATACACAGCTTGGATTTGAGCTCTGGCCCCATCTGACTCCAAGGCCATGTTCTTTCCCCTGTAGGGCCAGTCCTGTGGGTAGGGAAGTGACCTGAGAAATTGACACACCTGGCTTCTAGAGAGGTGGGCGTGACCAGGAATTTCTCCTTTGTGAGGAAACAGAGCAGAACTTGCGAGGGCTTGAGCCAGAAAGAGACCGGACCGGGCTGTGAACCCTCATTTTGCCAGCTGTGGTTTTATGACCCTTCTCTTCTACCCCAAGGCCTGAGGTCACAGGCTGCCTTCTTGATGGGGTACTCCCCACATCTTGACCCAAGACATGCTGCAGCCAGAGTGACTTGTGCCTTGAATTTTCTTGATGATGTAGGCACGTGCTCTCTGCGATGGTCATTTGAGTTGTAGAGTGGTGGCAGAATGTAACTGACAAAGCTGCCAGGAGTTGATTTCTCAGCTTGGAAAGCCAGGGCAGGCTGGAGCTGAGGCACCCCACTCCCAGCCTGTAGACAGTACCTACTCTGGTTCTTTTTTTGGTAGATGGTAACCTGGCAGAGGGTCATTAGCTTAGAAGCTGACACTTGACAGTTATGTAACCCTTTTACAATCTGTGTCTCATTTTACCCAAACCACCCTGGGAATTGAGTGGAAGCCATCATCCCTATTTTGAGAGGAAAAGGGTATAAATAGACTTGCTGTGGGTCACACAGCCAGGATGGCAGACAGCGCTGGAGCCTCTGTTTCTGGCTCCAAGTCCACTGCTCTTTGACTCTTTAACTGTGCTGCCTTGCGCCAAAGTGTTACAAAGCGGATCAAAAGAAACCATCTGCTGAGGACCAGTACTCAGAATTCCACTTGTCATCAGTGTCACCAGAATGGAATGTCCCTTCTGAGGACTCCAGCATTTATGTTTAAGATGTCTGTGTGCCTGGATCTGTGCCTCTTGTGCTCACAACCATAGCAGTGGCCCCACTGCCTTTGCACAAGTCATGTTGTGTGGGCCACACTCCGTTTCCCTCATTTTCCAGCTAGAGAGAATCCCTGCCCTTCTGGTGTCGGTGGGGCCCAAGAAGATGTTGAGAGGTGTGTTCTGAGTAGAGGCACAAAGGCCTTTTGATGCTCCTGGGAAAGTCCTGGCAGCAACAGGCTAAGAAGCTGGGTGGTGGGACGGCAGAGGGCTGCACCCGCTGACCGCTGTGCCTCTGCAGGTGTGGAAGGCCGTGGGATGGCGACTCATCGCCCTCTCCCTTGGCCTCTATGGCCTCCTCTACGTCTATGAGCGTCTGACCTGGACCACCAAGGCCAAGGAGAGGGCCTTCAAGCGCCAGTTTGTGGAGTACGCCAGCGAGAAGCTGCAGCTCATCATCAGCTACACCGGCTCCAACTGCAGCCACCAAGTCCAGCAGTGAGTGTCCCCGTCAGCCCGAGGGGCCGGCGCCAACCCCTGCGGTGCCCTCCTACTCTAACCTGGAGACCAGTGGGACCTGAGCGCTGTCCGACTCTGGCCGTGGGCTATGCAGTGACAACATGGAGGTTGAGAGTGGGAGAGGAGTCTCTGGGGATACCGTATGTCCAGGGCTGGGACTAAGTAGGCCTCTGGTCCCCAGGAAGGAAGACAGCAACACGAAGGGCATTACTTGTAGCATCTTTGGCAGGTTACCTTGAAGGACTTGCGTTGTGGGCATAGCTTTGATGTTCTAAGCCACAGCCCAGTCTTCATGGCCTATCTTTGGGCAGGTGGGAGTGGTTGCTTGATCTAGGTGGTGGTGACTAAGGTGCTGGCTGCCTGCCTTTTATTGCCACGTGGCAGGCCCTCTGCTAGGCATTTTGCACCTAATACTTCATTTTCCTCTCAAACACTTTGAAGTAGTTGTTCTTATTGACACTTTCTTTTTCAAAACGAGGAAATTGAGATTTAAGAGGAATCATGTGTCTCCTACAGGCTTCCCAGATGTCACTAGTGATAAAGAACCCATCTGCCAATGCAGGAGATGCAAGAGATGTGGGTTAGATCCCTGGGTTGGGAAGATCCCCTGGAGGAGGGCATGGCAACCCACTCCAGTATTCTTGCCTGAGAAATCCCATGGACAAAGGAGCCTGGCGGGCTACAGTCCATGGGGTTGCAGAGTCGGAGACGACTGAACAGCTGGACACACACGACCCTGTCTCTTGCGCTCGACTGATCAGCAACAGAACTGGGATCTGAGTCCTGCTCTCTTGTGTCCAGGTCGGGGTGTCCTGCCCTGTGCTCCTGGTTCTCACACAATGGTGATGCTGGTATTTGTGGTGGTAGTGATGTCCACGGTCTCAGCAGGAGGTGGGGCAGATGCTGCCAAACCAGGACAGGTGTTGGCCAGTGCAGGTGACCAGCAGGCTAGCAGCTGCCCTGCCCTGAGTCTGGTCGACACAGCCTGGTTGATCCTGACCCTCTCCCCCTTCAGGGAACTGTCCGGGACTTTTGCTCATTTGTGCCAGCAAGTTGATGTCACCCGGGAGAACCTGGAGCAGGAAATCGCCGCCATGAACAAGAAAATTGAGGTTCTTGATTCACTTCAGAGCAAAGCCAAACTGCTCAGGTGAGGTGGCAGCAGGGGAAACCCATCCTGCGGGGTTACAGCTCACAGGCAGGTCCTTAACTGCGGTGTCTCGGCCACCTGACATGTGCTGTCCCAATCTTCAACATCCCTGCAGGAGCCTGTCATCACCTTCACTTTATTAAAAGGAAAACTGAGGCCTGGAGAGGTGTTGAGTAACTTATCTGGGATCCCACAGTGGGTGGTTAAGCTGGGAGTAGAAGGATCCAGCCTGCTGGGCACCAGCACCCTCTGAGCCTCCTCACGTTATTTGGCCTCTGTTGTCAGCAGGAACACTGGGCTAGACCCACCCCTCACTTCCACCATTTCTCTGTGAGCCCAGGGATGATAGCCTACTGAAACCCATGCCCACAGGGGAGCCAGCCAGGTAGTGGGTGGCTGGCCGAGCCTGGCTCAGAACCCAGGGCTGCACAGAGTCTCCATCGAAAGTCAGAGCTTCGGGCAGCAGGTTGCTGGAGAGAGGATGGGTCCCTGGAGTCATGAGTGCTGGCTTCTGGTCCCAGCCCTCACATTCAGGCAAATCTCTGAGCTTCCCCAAGTCTCATTGCTTTTGTCTGTAAAATGCAGTGAGATTTCATGACAGAGCCACAGAGCTGCGTGCACAAGTGCTCTGTAGAGTCCTTGGCTGCTCAGGTCCAGATAACATCAGCACGTGGGGACTCGGGGCTTCCTGCCCTGCCCTGACGTCAGCACAGAGGGGGGCTGCATCCAAGGGCGTCCGTGGGCCTTCCCCTCCCTGCAGTGCAGACATGCACTCCCGCCCACTGCCCAGGGACACCTATTTTCTAGTGATACACCGCTCATCCCCTGGGGAAATCTCACAAGGCGTGGGTCTTGGGGGTGGGCGCCTCTGCTGTGCGTCACCTGCAGGGACAGGGTAAACCCAACAAGGACTGCATATCAGCAGCTCAGCCCCTTGCTGACAGGCAGAACATGGTGTTTCCAACAGATTGGGGCCTTGCCGGTGGGCCCAGTGTGAAGCCAACACAGGGCTTAAGGGTCAGAAAAGCCTGAGTTTATTTCCACCACCAATGAGTCGTGTGACCGTGGGAAGTTATTTAACCTCTCTGGGCCTCATTTTCCTCATCTGAAGCGGAGGTTACCAGAGGAATAAAAGAGTCTGTACAAGTCAGGTGTCCAGTAGATCAACGCTTGGCAGGTGACGCCATGGCTAGTTATCAGCTCTTGCCGCTACAAGGTAACCTTTTCTCTTCAGGAATAAAGCCGGCTGGTTGGACAGCGAACTCAACATGTTCACCCACCAGTACCTGCAGCCCAGCAGATAGTGGGCACCTGGAGCCGGAGCCCCCGTGGGGAGGACAGTGCTGCCAGCACGTGGGGCCTCCCACCACCAGACCCGCGTGCAGCTCCTGTCCACTGCCGCCACCATGAGAACGAAAGCACCCACTGTCTCCCACCATGTTGAGCCCCAAAGCACTAGTTATTTTCCCCTCCTTTGCCTGCTATTGCAGGAAGACCTTCCAACTTGTGCCCCTAAAGGAAACTTTTTTTTTTTTAATGAGTCTGGACAGCACGGTACTGGGGAGTTCAGTCTTTGCTTTGCTTTGTCATGCTCTCTTGATTGAGAAGCTGCTGATTGCTTGCTTGATGAGCTCTTGGGATCAGCCAGTGTTGCAGAAGGCCTGGTTGGGCCTTTAAGGGTATCAGGCAGACACCGCCCCCTCCTCTGGCCAACGCTTAACACCAACCCCCGCACACTTGCCCCCCACGCACCCCAGCTCCCGCACACCTGCCCACCACGCACCCCAGCTCCCCTGCAGAGAAAGGCCGCCTTTGTGGGGAGGCTGCATTTTCTTCCCAGTGCAAACTGATTCCAAGAGTCCCAGGAGGCTTGTGGCTTTTGTGTCAGTGTGGTTCTTTGGCTTTCATGCTTCAGTCTGTTTGCAGAGCCTTCCAGACCAGCCTTTCTGCATTGGCAGTGGGCTGAGTGTGGCTTGGGTTTTAGGCGGAGGCAGTCTCTCTGCCATGAGGGGCAGGAAGATACCGCAGAGGCAGCTGGAGCGCGTGACCGGGAGGGAGGTGGTGTGCGGAGCCTGTGTCCTGTCTGTGCTGTCTTGGGCGGCCAGTGCCATGATGGGCCGAGACTTGCCTCCCTTCTTGTTGTGTCCCTTGTTCTGCTTTCGGTCCTTAGCCTTGTAGTCTGGCTTCTTATTGGTGAAAGATGGTTTGGTCCAGATTGTTAAAGGATGTAGTAGAAGGAAAGATGGCGGAAGATGGGGACCTTGGTGGCAGGCTGAGGGGAGTGGACCCCACCCAGGACGGCTGAAGGATCAGTAGTTGGCACAAAACAGAGCCTTCTGTTTGACCTCACTCTGGTGGGGGCTCGTGGGGTCCGAGAGTCCACCCTACCAGCTTGAGGTTCCACAAAAAACTTGTTCCCACCCCTCACCCCTCCTTGGCTCAAGCCGCCCTTGGCCACCAGACCCCTGGACGAAGTCTCTTGTGCCAGCCATGCTGCACATGGCCAGGAGACAGTGCAGGGAACCCGGCACCCAGCCTCCCACCCTCCTGATCCCGGAGCCTCCAGATGACACATGGGGCCTCGCGTTGCTTTTGAGAAGTGTTTTCTGTATTGAGTGTGGGGATTGTTGCTGGTCACAGTGGGGGCAGGTTCCTGTCTCCATGGTGTTAGTCGTCTGGGGCAGGCAGCCTTCAGGTGGCAGCCTCTGCCGGGCAGGTCAGAGAGCTTCCTAGAAGCCAGCAGCACCGCTCTCCCAGAAAGAGGCGGGCTCAGGCAGAGAGGTGGGGCCTGTCCTGCCCTTCTTGAGTCCACCCGCCCTCTGACTTCGGGGAAACGGCTCAGTGGCCTCTGCTTGCTGGTGGGCAGCATGCAGTTGGCGTGCTCTCCAGGTGCCCACTGGTCCTTCAAACCTTCAGTCTACTCTGGTGTGTGGAACAAAGTAATGGACTTAGCCAAGGTTGTTGTACAGCAGAGGATGGCCCAGCTTTTTGCCAGACCCGGGTGGTGGTCACCTCACAGTATGTCCGGAGAAATCAGTGTTGCACAATTCCAATGAATTTTGTGCTTTGGGGGGGAAAATTATTTAAAATAACTAAACATGAAATTTTTTTTGAATGTATCCCCTGGGATTTTGAGCTTCTTATACAACAAGTAAAATTGAGTTTATACCACTGAGGGCAAGACACTGAAAGAATTGTGGCAAAAAGCACTTTAATTTAATGCTGCTAACTTTGTTCTCTGTCTTTATGTTCATTTACTGGAGTGCGAGACATGCTTGACACAGTGAGTTTTTTCTCTGATGTATTTAAGGTGATAAATTTGCCTGAATTACTCCTGTATCAGTGCTGATAATATTGGACACTAAAATAAAACCTAGTTGGAAACCCTTTGTGTTTGTGTGTCTCCTCAGTTTATTCTTATGCAAACTCTCTCTGACATGAGAAAGTCTACAGGCTGTATTTTGAAATGACCTTAACTTTACTTAGGGGAAGTTCCCACTGTAACCTGCCTGTGGGTTCCTCCTGACTCTTGGAAGGAATCTGATGCTCTCAGAAGAACAAAAGGCGTAACTGATCTTTAAGAACCAGGAAATCTAGAGTGATTTCTCTACAGATTTCACCATAACTCTAAACCATTCATTTTTCACTTAAAAAGTAATGACTCAGACTGGTCCACCCTTGTTTGCCTTCTGAGAATTTGGTTGTGACCTTTTCTTTCTTTTTTTTCTCTTTCTTTTTTTTGGAAGGGCTCTCAGCAGTGGCTTGGGCATGACTAGTCAGTTTTGCTGACCTTGCACACCTGTCCCCTGGTCTTTGCTTCACCCACTGCCTGCGCAGCTCATCCACGTCAGAGGCCTCCACATGGCAGTGGATGGCATCCTCGTCCTTCCAGATTCCCAGGTCACCAACTTGGGGCATGACCCAGGATTCACTGGTCACTGCCTCCAACCTGTCAGTTTCTGTCTTAAAAATAAACCTCGCCCCTGACTCTCTCGTCTGCTCCATCACGGCTCTAAGCCACGTTACTGCCTCTCACTTCCCTTGCCTTCTCACGCTTGCTTCAAAGCAGCAGGCCGGTTGACCTTGATGGAGGCTGGAAATAGAACTTAGCTCATGTTTCTTCCTTGCTCAAAATACAACTCTGGCTCCCTGTCCCACCCAGAATCGAGGCCCAAGTCCTTGCAGTGGCCTTTCAGGACCCGTGCTCTGACTGCCCCCTCCCTCCTCTGCTTGCTCTGCTCCGGCCACACTGGTGCTTGCTCTTCCTTGAAACTGCTGTGCACATTCCTCCATAAGGCCTTCACCAGGGCTGACCTTCATCCAGACCCCCACCCCCCTCCTCAGTTAAGATCCCTGTCCCCCGGGCTCTCCTCTGGCACTTCTGAGTATCCCTCCCCCCAGTCATTATCTGAGTAATACTGTTTGTGTCTGCACCTGCTAGAGCAGAAGCCCTAAAAACATAAGCAAACTATGAGATTTTTATCTATTGTGTTTATTGATAAGTGCCCAGCATCTGGACCAGTACCTGGCACAGAATCGGAACTCAGTAAATACTTGCTGAATTAGCAAATCGTGTCCTGATAGCACAGTCTCACACATTTATCAACCCTCAGCACTGGTGGACAGAACTAACATGCTACTGAAAACTTCCTATAGGTAGGCATGACTGCTAGGGGCTTTCACATGTGTTGTGTATTTAGCGATGAGTGTTTTCATCTCCAGTGTGGAAACAGGCTCAGAGAGGTAGGAACTAGCTCAGGCCTCAGCAGCTGGAGGGTGATAGGGACTGGGTTGGAGCCCAAGTCCTGATTCCTCAAAGCCTAATGGCTTTTGAACATTTTTTTACCCTGACGCACTATTAGAAATTCAGAGCAACTGAGTACACACATGTGCAAGTGAAACCAAAAAACTTAAAGTCAGTCGTTACCCACCCCCCCTTTTTTTGTTTTTTGTTTTTTTTTGCAATACACAGGTATTTTCTCACGGAGAAGTGCTAACCCACTAAATTGCTTACCAGCCACTCTTGGGTCAAGACCGGTAGTTTGAAAAAAAGGTGTTCACCCACTTTGCCTCAGTCAGCACCTCCCAGTTCTTTATTCCCAAAGGCCAGACTTATTCCTGTGGTTTCTCAGACTACCTCATCTGCCCACGAAGAGTTCTGGGGAATCAAAAGCCTGAGATTTTTGGCCCTTCAGTAACAATGTCCCCATTTAATCACAGCATATGTAGCCAGGAATGTACCTCTCTGTTCCAAGCACTGAACCCTACTCACAGATGTCAGCCAAGTTCACTCTGACCTCCAGGACAGGGTTTCCTGTCTCTGAGTCAGACTCAAGCTTGAGATAGGAACAGCCAACTTTTATGGAGGGCCTGGCATGTCAGACATGTTTATGCATAGCATCCAATCCTCTCAAAAACCTATTGACTGACTTTCCCCTTTGTACAAATGAAGTTTATTCATCAAAATATTTGAGTGCCTGCTGTGTGCTGAGTGTGGTTCTGGGCACTGGAGATAACAGCAGTGAATTTTGTTGTTTACTTGCTAAATCGGTCTGACTCTTTTGCTTCCCCATGGACTGTAGACCACCAGGCTGCTCTGTCCATTGATTTCCCAGGCAAGAATACTGGAGTGGATTGCCATTTCCTTCTCCAAGTGAATAAGGTGGATAAAATAGCCCTGCCTTGGTGGAGTTCATATGCCAGTAGGGGAAGGCAGACAGCAGGCGAAACTTGTGTAAAAGACATAGTGTATCAGAAGATAAGAGTTACAGGGGAAATGAGGCAGGGAAGGTCAGGGAGGGTGTAACAAGAGTGTGGCTGGGGTAGGCCGAAGAAAGGCCTGAATGAATTCGGTGGGGAATGAAGCCCTGGGGATACCTGGGACAGGGTATTCCAGGCAGATGGAGTCACATGTGTAAAGGCCCTGAGGTGCAAGTATGCCCAGTATCTTCAGGGAACAAAAAGAGACTAGTTTTGTGACTGGAGCAGAGTGAGGAAGGTGGAGAGTAGTCGGAGTTAAGTTGGGAAAAGGACCCAGGGGAGCTTGGGGTCTTGCCAGCCATTGTGAGTACCTTGGCTTACCTGTGAGCAAGGAAGATGCCATGGAGTGTTCCGAGCCAAGGTTCTGGGCAGCTGTGGGGAGAGTAGATGGCAGAAAGTGAGGACGGAAGCAGGGGGACCGGTCAGGAGGAAAGTGCAGTGTTTCAGGGAAAAGAGGACACTGTCTTGGACCTGACCATTGTGATGGAGGCTGTGAAAAGTGGTCGTTTCTGGAGACCTTTTTTAAAATCTTTTTTTAAATGTTTTTTTTTTCTCTTTCTTTCTTTCTTTTTGGCTGTGCTGGGTCTTCACCCTTGCAAGCTTTCCCTCCTTGTGACGAGCAGGAGCTATTCTCTGTTGCAGTGCGAGGGTTTCTCGTTGCGGTGGCTTCTCTTGCTGCAGAGCCCAAGCTCTAGGTGCGGGGACTTCAGTTGCGGCTCCCGGACTCTAGAACACAGGCTCAGTAATTGGGGCACACAGACTTAGTTGCCCCACTGCATGTGGAATCTTCCCTGACCAGGGATCAGATCTGTGTTCCCTGAGCTGGCAGGCAGACTCTTAACCACGGCAGCCCAAGGGAAGTTCTGGAGACCTTTTGAAGACAGAAACGATGAGATGTGCTGGATGAGTCATGGCTGACTCAAGTTTTGTCCTAGGCACGTGGTAGGATGGGGAAGCTTCAGTGGAGCAGGCTTGGGGGAAAAGATCAGGAGTTTCATTTTGTTGAACTTTGGGTCCCTCTTCCATAGTTGCATATGTGAACTTAGAGTTCAAGGCAAGTCTGGCCCGGAGGTGCACACTGGGGAGTCAGTGTGTGATGGTGCCTTGGCTGGGGTCCCCAGGATGCAGAGCCTAATGCAGAGGACCTGTGTACCCTCATCCTAATGTATAGAATGACCCCAGAGAGATGCGAGTTGGGGGGGAGTTGGAAGGAGGGAGAGCCAGCAGAAGTGTGCGTGGTGGTGTGTGTGTGTGTGTGTGTGTGTGTGTGTGTGTGTGTGTGTTAAGCATTCAGTTGTGTCCAAGTCTTTGTGATCCCATGGACTGTAGCCCACCAGGCTCCTCTGTTCATGGAATTCTTCAGGCAAGAACACTGGAGTGGGTAACCATTCCCTTCTCCAGGATATCTTCCCATGGATCGTAACCTCCTGCACTGCAGATAGATTCTTTACAATCTGAGCCACCAGGGAAGCCCTTGGCCACTGCCAAATGTGACCCTGAGGAACCATGTAATGAGTCTCAGCACCATTTCTTGGTGAGGAGGAAGGGGCAGAATATAACTGCCATCGCCCTCTTCCAGTTGGTTGAAGATTTGCCCCATGGGAGACTGACTCTGTGCATTTCTGGGTTGCATATGAAATCACCTGGGCACCAAGCTGGGCCCACAGGAGTGGTGAAGTTGAGAGGGGCAGGGTTCAGGCAGGGAGTATGGTCTGGCAATTTGTGTTTGCTTCAGATCACTCAGCCCAGGCAGAGTCAGAATAAAAGACAGGCAAGGCCAAAGAGGTCTGAATGGGTCACCCCTCCAACCACTCAGATCTGCTCTTGCCATCCTACCCTTCCCTGAGGGGGTGGTTTAAGTCCCACTGGACAGAGCCGCTTCAAGGTGATACAGCCAGTCTCTCATCTGCCCCCATTCTATCATCCTTTACCTTGGCCAAAGCTGCAGCTGGTCTGGTTATTTCCTGGTGGGGTCATCCAGACCTTCATCCCCAAGGGGTCTGAACCTTTGACTGTCTTGCCCTGAGAGGGCTGTGAATGCCACAATTGCAACTTACTGTCATCAGTAAGTGTGGAGACACCAAGAGACACCCAAGGAGATTCTAAACAAACCCTCTACCTCATTTGGTACGTGCAGTCCTGACTCCTCATCCATGCCATGCTGCATGGCTTCAGCCATGTCTCTCTGTGACTCCATGGACTGTAGCCCGCTAGGCTCCTCTGTCTACAGGATTCTCTAGCCAAGAATACTGGAGTGGGTTGCCATGCCCTCCTCCAGGGAATCCCAACCCAGGGATCGAACCTGTGCCTTTTATGTCTCCTGCATAGGCAGGCAGGCTCTTTACCATTAGCGCCACCTGGGAAACCCTCTGACTCCTCATGGTGATCGAAATCTATCACCCCTGCCAGTATAGAAACTCTCTTTGCCTGCTGGTCCACCAGCAGGGAGGCCTGAAGACCAGGTGATGGTTATGTCTTCGAGTTCATTGGAACCCTGGGTACTCAACTGTATCCCCTGGTGGAAGTTCCCCAGCCCTGGGCACTGGGACCTTCAACCTGTCAATGTTTGCAGGGATAGGAAACACACATTTTACCAGGGAGTCACTATGACCAGTAGTAAGTTTGCTTCCTGTCCCCATGTGATCTAGCTTCAGGGGACACAGCAGCATATGTCAACTTCCTGGAGAAGAGAGCTGCAGGGTATGGTCCTTGACTGATATCTCATGCCACTTGGGTGTAGGGATACCTGGTAAGACCAGTGGATCCTTTTGTCAGATGCCTATTGTCCCACCTGTTTTGCCAAGAAATGGGTCCCTTGGTGAGACAATGTGGTGTGGGGGACCATGTCACTGTACCAGGAAGCCTGAAGCCCTCAGATGGTGGTGCTGGTGATGGCCCCAAAGGCAGGTCAAGCAAGCCCATATCTGGAACAGCATCGATTTCAGTAAGTACAGATCACTTCCTTCAGAGTCAAAGGGTTCTGATGTACTTGAGCTGCCACCAGATCAGTGGCTGGCTGGTCTCTTGGAGATGCAGTATTGAAGGCTCAGCTTTGGTCCTTCAGACCAGGTGTCCAGCAGCAGCAGGACCCAGCCTTTAGGAAAAGGAGCCCAGGTGCCTTCACACCTTCATGTTGCCTGCTCTGTCCCTGGGCTTTTGTATCCTCATTGGGGAGGCTGAGCAGAGAGGCTGGCTGGCATTTACCAGCCACCTAGTCCCTTCCGGCTGGTTGTGGACCATCTTACCAGCAGTGGACGTTCTCTGACGGACCTGAAATGTGAGACACAAAGATTTAATCCTTTGTGCCCCCACTTACTGGCCATCATTGACACATCTTCCATTAAAAAAATATTTTTTAATTTATTTATTCAGCTGTGCCAGATCTTAGTTGCAGCGTGTGAAATCGCCGATCTTTGTTGCAGCATAGCACATGTGCATGCTCAGTTGTGTCTGACTCTTTGCGACCCCACTGACTGTAGCCTGCCAGGCTCCCCTGTCCATGGGATTCTCCAGGTGAGATTACTGGAGTGGGTTGCCATGCCCTCCTCCAGGGGACCATAGCGACCCAGGCATTGAATCAGTGTCTCCTGTGTCTCCTGCATTGGCAGGTGGGTTCTTTATTGCTGAGCCACTGAAGATGCACTTCCATTGTACGG